GCGGGGGCGGGAAGGGGGGAGGACCAGGACCCTGGGTTCCTAACTGGTGAGAGGTGAGGCTTTCAGAAGGCGGTGGGGAGGCAGGTCCCATCGCTGCCGCCCTTCCCGCTTCACCTGCTCACTTGTCCGGCCCAGGACTGGCTGACCCGCTATGGCTACCTGCCACCGCCTGACCCAGCCCAGGCCCAGCTGCGGAGCCCTGAAAAGCTCCGGGATGCCATCAAGGTGATGCAGAGGTTTGCTGGGCTGCCTGAGACCGGCCTCCTGGGTAGGTGCCCCCAGCCCTGCCTCCGCACCCAGCCTGACCGTTACCCAGCTGTTCTTAAACCGCAGCACGCACTGAATCATGGGGGTTATGACAATGCTGATCTCAGGTCCTAACCCAAGGAATTCCCAAGCATTCCTCCTTCAATGCATATGTATCGAGAATCTCTTACGTGAGAGGCCATTTCAGGCTCCGCTCGTACAGCAGTGAACAAAGTAGATAACTCCCTGCTCTCGTAGAGCTAACCTTCTAGAGACGAATACATTTCTAAGAGATCAGAAACAGAAATATGCAAGATCATTTCAGATAGTGGTGTTTTGAAGAAAATAAAATGCTAACGGTATTGAGGGGCTGGTCTGGTCAGGCCAGGGTCCTCTGACAGGTGTCATATGAGTCAAGAGGAATTCCTATGACACAGAGAACTCATAGGACACAACGAGGAGGAGCCCGCCATGGGAAGATGCGGGAGAAGAGTGTACCAGGCCAGTGCAAAGGCCCTGTGGCAGGCACAGGCTGTGCACCTGTGATGAGAGAGGAGTAAGGAGCTAAGCAAATGCCTGGTGGGAGGAGGCTTGCAAGGTGTTTGGGTTGGATTCGGAAGCACAGTAAGAAACCACGGAAGGGTTTGAAGGAGGAAGGCAACTTGGTCTGTTTTTCAGTTTTACATTTCCTTTGGTTGCTGATGGAGATGGTGGGTGGGGAACACGGAGGCCAGCGAGGAGGTCACGCAGTGTCCAGGCAGGGGCTGCTGGTGGGAGGTGTGATGAGAAGTGGTTGAAGCCAGAGTGCACATTTTGGAGGTAGAGCTGAGCAGCTCATCTGTTGGGTTAAATGGGGAAGAAGAGAGAACTGGTGGGTTCCTGGCTAGCTGCGAGGGAAGGCAGGGTCTTCCCCTGCCCTGCTTGGCATCTACATGGGCTCAATTACACATTGTGACCTCAACCATCGAGGTGAGGTTTGACCTTCTGTTGAGGAGGAGGAGACTGCTGGGAATTGAGCTCAGCTGGAAAAGGGGATTCCAGGCAGCTCTAACCCAGGAGGGGGTGGTTAGTCACAGGAAACCAGAGACCCAACGGGCGTGGGGACTCCGGACTTTATCACGATAGGGTCTTGGAACCTCTGGTGTGGGGTGTGGGCACCCTCCTAGGGGTTCCCAGCCTCAGAGAGAGGAGTTTGCACTGCACCCCCAGGGCTCCTTCCTTGAGCCCAATTGCCAGGACTCAGGGAAGTTCCCTGCCTGAGGCTCTGAGCACCACCTCCAGGGCCAGGTGCTGGTTTGGATGAGCTGGCTTACAGAATCAGACTGTCTGGGTTCAAATCCAAGTGGGGGCAAGTTTCTTCATCTCCCTGAACCTGTTTCCCCATGTGGAAAGTTAGCTGGTACCATGATTCGGGCAGATTGTCCTTCTGCTGATCCCGCTTCCCCAACCTGTCCCACAGACCCAGTGACGATGGCCACCATGCACAAGCCCCGCTGCTCTCTGCCCGACGTGCTGGGGGTGGCAGAGCTGGTTAGGCGCCGGCGCCGGCGCTATGCCCTGAGCGGCAGTATTTGGAAGAAGCGAACCCTGACGTGGAGGTAGGTCCTGGTGCCTACCCCACCCTGGGCTGGCCTGCTGGGCCCTAGTCTCTGTGTCCCAGGCTATCCTTACCCTCCACTCCTCTTTCCCCAGGATACACTCCTTCCCCCGGAGCTCTGCCCTGAGCCAGGAGACTGTGCGGACTCTCATGCACCATGCCTTGGCCGCCTGGGGTATTGAGTCAGGCCTCAAATTCCGGGAGGTGGGTTCTCAGGGCCCACCAGAGGCTGACATCCTCATCGACTTTGTGCGGGCCTACCACCAGGACAGTTACCCTTTCGACGGGCAGGGGGGGACCCTCGCCCACGCCTTCTTCCCCGGGGAACACTCCATCTCTGGGGACACTCACTTCGACGATGAGGAAATCTGGACTTTTGGGTCAAAAGGTACAAATGTTCCTTCTTCTGAGAAGTCCTCTCCCCAGGTCTGTCTGTCTGTCCTTAAGAATTAGGTTTAAAGTACATTTATCGATGGAGGCTGTATCAGCTGGGCTTCTCCAGGGAAATAGAACCAATAAGATGGGAGTATGTGCACATGGGCATGATTTATTTTAAGGAATTGGTGCACGGAATTGTGGGACTGGCAAGTCCAAAATCGGTAAGGCAGGCTGGAAGTTCAGGTGAGAATTGATGTGGCAATTTTGAGTCCAAAATCTGTAGGGCCAGCCAGCCGGCTGGACAGCCAAGCAGGCTTTCTATGGTGCAGTCTGAAGGCAGAATTCTTCTTCTGGGGAAGCCCAGTTTTTGCTCTTAAGCCCTTCAACTGATGAGGTGAGGCCCACCCACAGTCCCGAGAGTTACCTGCTTTACTTAAAATGACATCTACAGAATATCCTCCATAGCAACATCCAGGCTGGCATTTGACCAAGCAACTGGGCGCCACAGTCCGGCCACTCTGACATAGAAAATGACCCACCAAAGAGGCCTGTTAGATGCCCAGCTCCGAGCTGGGGCTGAGAACTTAAAAAGGCGAAAACGCAGTTCTGTGCAGCAGCTGAGTCAGATGAGTAAGTGGCAGTTGCTACACATCATGACACAACTACAGAGAGTTACAACAGGGAAGTCCTCAAGCCTGCGGTGCTCAGAGAAAGGACTGATCTGAGGCTTTTGGCTGCAGGGGACTTCCTGGAAGCAGTGATTCTGTTTTCTTCTCTCTCTCTCTCTCTCTCCTTCTCTCTCTCTCTCTCTCTCTCTCTCTCCTTTCTCACACACACACTGAGTGCCAGCTAGCACACAAGGTCCTGCTCTCCCGGAGTATACAGGGAGGGGCTGAGGCACAATATGGAAGCACAAGCCAATGGCTAGCTGAGTAGTCAGGGTGGTCAAGGATGAGAGCACTGGGGTGAGAAATGGCCTAGGTCAGTGGTCGGCAAACTCATTAGTCAACAGAGCCAAATGTCAACAGTACAATGATTGAAATTTCGTTTGAGAGCCAAATTTTTTAAACTTAAACTATATAGGTAGGTACATTGTGATTAACTTAATTAGGGGACTCCTAAGCTGGCCTTTGCTAAAAACGTCCTCAGTCTGATTGAGGTACGTTTGCTGAGGTCGACCCCTTCCAACTCTCCCATCCACACTCGTCTTGTATACTTGTTTCGTCTATCTCCTTTCGTTCATCCTCTCTATATGTCCACCCCCCACTTCTTCTAACGCCACTTCTTCAAAATAGACTCGCCCAGGCCGAAAACCGACTTCTGCGCATGGGCCACGAAGTTTCAATTGCACTGTACATGCGCAGGTGGTATTTTGTGGAAGAGCCACACTCAAGGGGCCAAAGAGCCGCAGTTTGCCGACCACTGGCCTAGGACATTTGGGGCTGGAAGGCAAAAAATACAGTGTCAGAAGGGAGACCATGGAGGATGGATGGAAGGTTTTATGCCACACAAAGGGCCTTGGAGAGCACGGGGAGGAATCTGAACTGTAGGATTCTGAAGGCAAGAGATGTGGAAGGTTTTGCATTCTAGAAGTGCCACTGGCTGCGGAGCAGGGCAAGATAGGGCAAGACGGCAGAAAGTTGCTGCAGAGTCACTGTGAGAGATGGTGGTGGGAGATGGGAGGTGCTGAATGGAGGGCAGTGGACGGCTCTAAGGGAAGTTTAATCAGGATGGGCAAAGGTTGGGGCCTGACTGGATCCTGGGGGCAAAGGGTATAGGAGGTTGGCGTGCTGGCCCCTGGAGGACAGTCCTGTTAATGCAGGTGGGAAGTGTGGGAGCAGAAGCAGGCTGGGCGAAGGTAGGGGTGAGTTTAGGTGGGGGGTGTGTCTGCAGTGCTTATGGGCAGTCAGTGCAACTAGTGCATTGGTGGTTCAGTATGTTGCTCTAGAGCTTGGACTCCTCTGACTTAGGTCAGGTTCCCCAGAATTGGAGCTCACGATGTAAATTCTTATGCAAGCAGTTTCTCAGGGGTACGTTCTCAGGGGAAAGGGAAGCAGGAGAAGACGGAGAGAAGCTGAGCAAGGATGTGGTCTCGGCTCCAGAGGAGCCTGACCCCACTAGGAGCTCTGGAGCACAAATGGTGTCACAGGATTGGTCCTCCCTGGAGGCGAAGTGCCCAGCTCTCCTAGTCCTGCATCAATCAGCCATTGTGACCTGCTGGGCCTGGGAGGGGGAGAGAGCCATTTTCTGAGGAAGGGGGCAGCCAGGGAATAGGCACACAGGCTCAGAGAGGATTTGGGCAAGGTACAGCTAGCAGCCACAATAGTGAGACTGTGTAACACAGCATTTAAGAACACAAGCTTGCACTGGCCTGTGTGGTTCAGTGGGTTGGGTGTCATCCCCTGCACTGAAAGGTTGTAGGTTTGATTCCCAAGGCATATGCCTGGGTTTCAGGCTCAATCCCCAGTAGGAGGCATGCAGGAGGCAGCCTATCAATGTGCCTCTCTCTCTCTCTCTCTCTCTCTCTTCTCTCTCTCTCTCTCTCTCTCTCTCTCTCCTTGCCC